CTTGGAGGTGCCAACTTTGAACCACCTAACTCCGTCCTCAGGCCATCTTTTCCACAGACCAATATACCATATTGAAGCCCTCAATGCCTTCTTAACAACTCATCCAACCACTGGCCGTGATCCCTCCGGAATTAGTGGAAAATCGCGCCAAAGTGAGCTACCCACGCACAGCCGAATTTTGGACAGTTTGGAGGTGCCACCTTTGGATCATCATAACTCCGTCATTCGACCCCCTTTTCCATGGACCAATATACCATATTGAAGCCCTCAGTTCCTTCTTCACAAGACATCCAACCAATGGCCGTGATCCAGTCAGAATTGGCCGAAAAAAGGAGCCAAAGTGGGCTACCCTCTTCCGGCGACACCCATGGGCAGCCCATATTTGGCTCTATTTTCCGGCAAATTAAGACGGGATAATGGTCGGTGGTTGGATGGGTTGTGAAGAGGGAATTGAGGGTTTCAATATGGTATATTGGTCCATAGCAAAAGGTAGCCGAAAGACGGAGTTATGGTGGTCCAAATTTGACATCTCCAAACTATCCAAAATTCGGGTAGCTCACTTTGGTCCTTTATGTTTGAATTAAAAGCATAACGGTCCTCCGGTGACCGTTTGTGAAAGCACATGAAATTTCAGTGATCGTTTCTACAATTTTTGAACTTTAGTGATCGTTTTGTTATTTTTGCGTAAGTTCAGCGACCGTTTGTAAAATTAACCCCAATGAAAAATATAGTACATTGGTCAAAGTAGGGAAAAGGAAAAATGGGAATTGTGCTTTAACGTTATGGTTGTAACTATTTGCAGGATTTGACCTGGACAAACCGTCTAATTATTCAAAATAACTCTAATATTTTAAATCAGTGAATAGTGTTAATGTTTTTTTAATTTATTTATGCTAAAATTTAATATCATTCTCCAGTTATTCTTGCTTTATATTTTGGGTTATCTAACTATGTTGTTTCAATTTTAATTAATATTGGAAGTTCAAATTATATTTAACTGATTTGTATATCCTCTACAAAGTGCTTAGATGGCTTATGTTATAGATTTAGGCTCCATTTGACAAATTTATAAAAGTTTATAAAGAGCATATTAGTGCAACTATATTACGAGTTGTCTTAGACGTAAGAATGCACAGTTAGGCTCCTCCTATTTTATGGTTAAAAACCTTGCCTTCTCAAGTATATAGCCTCTGTTTGGTAGAAATTAAAATTAAAATTTTAATTTAAGCCAAAGTCAGTAATTAATTTTATCTAGCATTTCACGGGACCCACAATTTTTCAATCATACATTTCATCAATTTTTATCAAAATCTCCTAAAAGTATGATTTTAATCCCTACCAAAGAGGGCATAATTTCGATGCTTTGATATTATATGCCTCATTTGTTACATTCTATAACTCATCATAAGTTCATCTACTGAAAATCTAATGTCCATTTTTTTTATCTTTAATGTCTCAACCGATTGAACTCGGTTACTCGAGAATAACTCAACATATTGACATAGTACAAAAAAAAAAAGTTTAATCATTCTTTGATTGTGGGTGTAGGGATATTCGAAGAATTTGCTTCGATCATGCACCTCAAAAATGAAGCCAAGTTTGGTAAGATCATTTTGTTCGATTAGATGTTTATTGTCAAGGACAGAATTTATGTCATATTAATATGTTTCGGCATTTTATAGTGTTTTTTCCCAATGCATGGCATAAGCCGCATAACAAATTCAGACCCGCTTTTCCTTATAAATACCACCTACGTAGTCATGGCAATTCGGTATCTGATCCAGAATAAACAAAATTGATAATTGCTATACTATGTTTGTATTTATATCTTAAAGTTATTCTCTATAAGGATCATTACTAAGAAGAAAATATGTTTTTTTCTTTATCAACTTGTTCAATTTGAAAATTTGATTGTGTCATTCTGACTCAAAATATTTGCGTCCGCCACTTAGATTTGAGGTGGTGTGTAATGAGTTGTCCTATCATATATGCATATAGAATTGTTCCTTTAAATCTTCCCCGTGACACTTCTT